CCAAGAAGATTATCAACCTGTTGAGTAGTTACTGGTTTGTAGTGTAGTCAGCTAAGGGTTTGCATGTTTATCTTTGATGGAAGCTCCATCTGAACCCTGCCTCGGGCATTTTCTTAATAAGCTTGTGAACTTCAAAGCAGTCAATTTGCTTTTGCAACACGTACACAATTTCTTTTTAAATCAAAGCTTCAAACTGGGAGGGAAAAAATCTCTTGTTTATTCCTATAAAGTGGCGGCAGACGAGGTACCATGTAAAAGGATCAGAGCACATGAAAATGGAGTCATGCTGTATACAGTGCCTTAACACTGCATCATTTGCATACTACATTGGTCTAATTTGTTGCGATTCGTTTTGGGGTTGGATCAAGTTTAAAAATGGCACGTGGGAGGGACACATCTATCCTTTTGTTATGACGGCAGCGTGCGTGTTTTTGACAATCTTTTTTGAAGTTATTAAAAGGATTTTGAGCAGTCCTTCATAAGAAGGTTGCAAGGAGGAAGAGCTGATTCAGTTTGCCTTTTTTCATAGCAGAAGCTCAGAAACTAAATGCAGGGATTATCCATTAATTTGTGTTTCTTTTCTTTTTTCATCTTTGATTTTTGGAAAACATTAACCTGTCTATCAATTTTTGTGTAGGAACTGAAATATTTGAAGATGTAAAAGAAGCATTTTTAGCTTCCTATAATGAGCATACTGTACTTTTTCAAGCTGGGAATAGAGGAGATGTCACACTGTGTGGGAGAATAGTTGGTGTTAAGCAAGGTCTGTTTTAGAACACAAAATTATTCTGAGTCTGATGTTTTAAAATGTGTTGGTCAATTTAGTTTGAACTGTTCTTTGGACTTTAGCACATGAGGCTGACCTTGTCCCCGCAGCGCAACACATCAACAAAGCACTTTAAACCTTTCTGTACGCTAACTGGACTTACGTTAGAGAATCAAAGATTATAAGAAAACACTCAACTCAGTCCTCTGAAGGAGAACAGAAAAAGAGACTAAGGAACATTTTCATTGTATATGTGGCTGCATAACTCAGAAAGACATTTTCCAAGGGTAACATTCTGCTGCATTTAAACCTCAGAAAAAAAGTATTTTTCTGTTTTTTGTCTTAAGATGGAGAAGATATGAAAGTCACCTGAACTTGATTTTCAATATCTTAGTTGTACTTAAATATATATGCATTTTTAAACATTACTGCATTTAGGATTTGTACTTCAGTAGTAGGTGACATTTTGAAATGACGCAAAATGTTAGAGCGTCTGACACTATTACTAACAATAGTAACATTTATGCTAAGGTTTACTGATATTGATGTATTTGCAAATAGTAATGAACATTTTTATATAGTTATGTGGCTACAATGTGGCAAGAGTGTATTTTACCTAATTGGTGTGTTTGCTAGTTGGGTAAAAGTTTTAGTTCATCATAGAAAAAGATACAAACAACAACAACAACAAAACCGATATAACAATTGTGTTGTACTGTTCACCCCCATATGAACGTCTGAATTTTGTATTTTAGTCATCTTTCAGCCATAGTCATTCAAATTACAAGCAGTAAAGGCTTACAAGAATTTACTGTATGAGAAATAAATCTATGCAATATATAAGATTTAGATTGACACAAAAGACAAAAAATTTTTAATTTTTTGACAACATTTTATTTTCTTTACTTGTATTTGTAAATATAAAGCAAGATACCACAACTACACCCAGACTCTCAGCTTTGTCAGCCTGGCCTGGTTAACGTGTGTCAAACCTGAGAAACATCTGAAACTTGTGGAACAGCATAAAATAAGCGACTTGAGACCGAGAGAGTCGAAGCGCCTTTTATGTCATCTTTTCCCGGAGTGGTCAGCCATGACATGTTTGGTGAGAGACACTCACTTTATCTCCGTCTCACCCTATTACCCTGCCTAAACAAGTCACAGGGCTAAAAGGAAAAAAGTCCCAATTCACACATTTATGGGAAATGGTTCAGTTGATCAAAAAAGCCCCCACACCTCCCTGCAAGACAAACTCTCCACAGGAGGTTTCTCCCTCTAAGCATCGCCGTCCCCCTGCACATTAAATATCCCAGTGAGCGGAAATGACATAGCTTGTGGCACAAAGGCCTTTCTGTTGCAGTTTGGATTGATGAAACTCTCTAATAACCAATAAGATGCTGTTTGTGGAGCTAATGTTATCTGTGTTGCTCCGAGCTCTTTGGGAGAATGTTTGGAGGAGTCTGAGATTATTAATTACCTACAATATCAAGGTCATTTATAGAAAGAGAATCTACAATCTGCAAGAGAGGTGAAATGATGATAAGCACAATAACTCGGCAGGTGAACATTGATTGATCCAGGATCAGTAGGCCAAATCATACAGCCCTCAGATCAATTTAGGTCCTAAATCGAAAGAAAAATGCCGTTATTTATTGTTTTTTTTTTGTGTGTTTGTTTTGGGGTTTTTTCTGATCCTTCTGCTTTTTGACAGAAATTGCCATTTGAGTATGGTAGTGTCTCCTTGCAGTTCTGTGACCATTTGTTTGCCGCATGATATGCAGGTAATAAATCTTCATTGTATGGCTGGTACACACATTGAAGAGAAAATATTTGCCTATTTCAGAGGCAAAATATAGTGGCGTTTGTTGCATTATGAACTACAAAGCTCAAATTGTAAGAAAATGTTGGCTTTTATCATTTCTGTAGAAAGTCCAACCTTTCTAGGCTAAAACAATTAGACTTTTATGTTAATAACCACTTTACGAAAAAACAAAGGTGGTTTTACAGCCATTCATAGAATCTAAGAATTTTAGTGTTTTCATTTTTAAGTGCACATCTCGGTTGAAAATAGTGCACCACGACTTTTGGGTAAAAGCTTAAAGGAGATGTCTCCATGGTTACTGGATGAGAAACTCTGTTTGTGGCAAAGTTTTATTACGGCGGCTTACAGCAAATTAAGCTTGGAGCGGCACTGCATTGTCCTGATTGTCATTGGATTTTAACGAGCTGCAGCGGAGATGTATTGAAGCTTCTCTATATATAACATAGACATTGTTTTCATACTCCAGATGTCCAGAACAGCCTAAAGTCTGGCATGGCATTTTAATTGATGCTGGAATTGATGGGGGAAGAGGGAGAATTCTTATTCTTTAGCAAAAGTATTCATACCCCTTGAAATTTTGCACAAGATGTTGCAAGACGGCCTCTTATACCCACGTCTTTTTATTAGAAGTTTGTGTAATAAACCAACACAAAGTAGTTGTGATAGAAGACTTACGCCCATCATAATTGTGACATAAAAGGACAGAGGTAAATAATTTGACAGTATTTGTTTTCATCCCTGTCACGCTGATGCCACTAAATGCGGTGTGATCAGCTGTCTTAAAGGGGCAGTATTATAAAATCAAATCATGCTATAATGTTGTTCCCTTATCAACTGCACTGTTGCCTCGAGTATTTTACGTTGACCATGTAATTTCGCAATTTGACATTTTGAAAATAAACTTTGTTTAATGGAAACGGCAATTTCAAAAGGTAAAATGAAATTTTAATAAAATGTCTTAGAGCTTGGATGAGGTGGGTTATTTTGGCCTTATATCAAAAGTGGCTTTTCCTATAAAACTGCAATGGAAACACTTTTTTGTATCACACAAGTCACGTATGTGATCAGCAACTGGATGCTGCCACTGGTGTAAACAAGAAAGAAGAAAACAGGAAGTAGCAGGAGGATGATGGTGCGGCTTGTTTTTTGATGATTTATCTCGTGAACAAACTAATTCACATGTGATTTTCATTGTGCTTCTTGTTTAATGGAAAAATTCAATGGTAAAATTGTGTTTTTTCAGCATTAGCTATGATTTGCTTTTACATACTACTGCCCTTTTACGACAGTTGATCACACCGCATTTAGTGGCATCAGCGTGACGGGGGATGAAAACAAATGATCCCGATACTGTCAAATTATTTTAGGCATCTCTTTGTTCTTTTACGTCACAATCATGATGGGCGTTAGTTTTCCATTGCAAGTTTTACACATTTGTAATGGGAACACCGCTAGTTTTGCTCTTGTTCTCCATCATAAGTGTGTTATCTTTATTTCCATGGGGCTTAATCAGTCATAACACAACTGTGGCATTTTCACGCATCCAGGGCCATGAGAGTTCAGACAATATTATTTGCAAGCAGAGTGTTATTCCACGTCGCTTAAAAACTAATATCCTACCAAGTACTGCATCCCTTCCAATTAGTATATTAAGACATTGATAATCCAATGACAACTTCTAATTTAAAGCTGTGCAGCTCAAGGGGGCATTTAAAAAAAAATTACCTCCACTCCTGGTCTTTTTTTACCTTGATGTGCGACACTTGGAGCAGTGTTAATTACCCAATAATTTGACAAATATTAACCCTCCGACATTTGCTTGTCGTTCACTGTGATTCATTTTCGTCATTTCTCGTTCACACGGTTTTGGCACAGTTTAGCGCTGTGCCGTGGAACACACCGCTACGTCCAGCCCAAGAAAACACGATTATGTTTTTAGTTTGATTCCATCAGCCAAATTAAGGCAACCGCAGACTCAGGACCCCATTAGTATGCTAATAAAGACTCAACTAATGACTGATTTACAATTCAGTCGATTTTTGTCCTTGCTCTGCTTGTATGCACAAATAAGTAAAACGCTCTCTCGGCACACATTCATGTCAATAGTTTCCACATTATTATTTTTTTTATGTGTTTAAATAAGCATCAGAGGAAGCTTATTTCTAGCCCTGCTTTTTTTTCCTACCTTGAAATCTACTTTTCATTTGTGTGATTAATAAATTGTGTTTGATATCATGAAAATATGAGAATCATTTAAGCCCCGGTCAGAATTTATACATATTTTGCTTTTCCTCCTTCTGTCAGCCATTTTGAACCCACTTAGTGTTGCCTTGTAAGCGAGTCCTTCTCACTGTGATATTCTAGAAAGCAGAGATTCTGATGCTGATTCTAACGGGTCTCTTTCTCCCACAGTGCTCAGCGGCCTCTGCTCTAACGCCTGTCCTGAAGATGTCAAGGTGAGAAACCTTTTACTTTTCTGACATAAAAAGCTCCTGTGTGCCTGGATCACATTGATTTTTAAGAATTTTCGAAATCCTTAGTGCGAAGTGCAAAAACACAAAACCTTACCAAGTATTTTTGGTCTTGTTTTTGAAACAAGTATCTCAGTGTACTTAAAATAAGACCAAATGTACTCATAAGTGACTTTTCAGTGAAATGTATTAGCTTATTTTAACTTATAATTCCTTTACATTAATGAAAAAGTTCTAGTTTCACAGGCAGATTATTTCATTTATAATGTGGGGGGGAAAGTTTTGTTGTAAGTTAAATAATCTGCCAATGGAACTAGTTATTTTTAATTAATGTTAAGAAATTATTGACTTAAAACAAGCCATTATATGTTGCTGAAAAGCTTCCTGGAAGTTATTTTTATTTTCTTTTAAGTAAAACTAAGATATTTGCACTAGAAGCTTGTACAAATACTTAGTAAGGTTTTGTGCTTTTGCAAGTATAGAAATAATTTGAACATTCAGTCACTAAAATGTTTCAATATTGAGTAAAACCAAACTGTCAGTATATCTATTTTGATTTTATTATGATAAAAGGAATCCCAAGTCATACCATTTACATAAAATCAAAAAAATAGTGATTTTCCTTTTGTCATTAATGCTGCATTTACATAAACCTTTCTAAACAATCACTAAGCCGTTGGCTAGCAACAGGGAAGCTAAAGGAGAAGAATGTGAGCAGCAACCTTGATCAGCAAGCCTTACTTCTTTTAAAAGCTCCACATAATTACCCACTGTTTGTTTTCTCTTCAATATGGCGACATGGTGTCAGGGATGCAGTAGCAGAAAATAGCTTTTTTTTGTTTGTTTTGAAAGAGCCACTGACATATTGACAGCATGTCGATATATTAGCCCTGCAGAGTGAAGCAGAGAGGAATTCCATCAACAAGCTCAGACTGAATCATTCTGCTGAAGGAGGGAGGATCAAAACAGCAAGACTGATTTTTTTTTTTTTTTTGCAACGTTTTAAGATGAGGAAAATCTCCTGTTATGTTAAGAAAGTTTCAAGTTTCTTAAAATAAGTTTTAGACAAAATTAAGAAAAGGTTCCTGAAACAAAAATTTTAAAATGTCTTTTCTGTTTTTAAAAGCTTCAGAAGAACTGAAGCAGAAGACAAAAAAATAAGAGAGTAAGATAAGAGGGGTTTTTTGTTGTTTTTTTTTTTATTGTTTTTTTTGTTTTTTATCCCATTTCACTGTGATGGAGAGCTGTGGTTGCAAACTGTAAACCACAGTGATTTCTAAACACACCTCTGCAAACCAGCATCCAAACACCTTCATCTTTACATCAGCAGGTCTGTTTGTAACAAAACAATGCTGTTGGATTTTATTGGACAAACAGCAGGAGTCTTTCCTCCTTTTTCAAAAAAGATCTTGACATTTTAAAATGTATTTTGGGATTTGTTTGTTATTAGTCTGGGATATTTTGACAGTTGTGATCTCAACTGGGGCGTACAGTGGAGTGGATTTTCTCATAAATTCCACATGTTCCTACTACCCCGTCTCATCCTCTTGTGTAGTGGTTAAGGTACCAGAGGCCAAAATCATCTTAACATTGATTACACTGGGATACAAAAAATATATTTTTTGGAAGTTCTCTGTGTTTTTTCAATTGAATTTGGACTATTTTGCACGGCTGAATCCAAACGTGACATCCATTTTTCTCAGTCAGGTCAAATTTTTATTCTTTTTTTGTCTCATTATCAGCTCATTAGTGCATTAATTAAATGCTACAAACTTTGATTTCTGTAAGTTCAAAATAAACACTGATAGTAATATGTAAATTGAGCATTACGTCTTCATTGTTTAAAATTCTCCGTCTCTTTTCTGTCCTGATGGAGTCTCTCCTCCTGCTCATCACTGATTGATCAGATTATCAGCAAACTGATCCAGATGTGAGAACAAATCATGCATTTTGAAGCTCATGTTGCTCCGTAGTTCAGAAAGTTGACCTGATGGAGCAAAAACCAATGTGATTTTTGGATTCAGCATATCAACATGACTCTAAAACAGTTGAAAACCACAAATGATTTTGTGACTGTTTACCAGTGTCATCTTAGTAATTGAGTAATCTATCAATTGTTCTGGCGATTAATCGATTAATCATTTGCTTGTTTTATAAATAAGAAATACATTAAAAGATGCATTTAAATAAATAAATTTTACTTTTAAACAAAAGACTTTGTTTTTTTTTTTTTGCCAAAAATTTAGTTTGAAAGATGTTTTGTTTCTTTTATCTAAAATGCAAAACGTTTATATTTTTGTACAGTTTTGACTTAGACTGCTCAGTGTGTGTTGTTGTTTCAGCAAATGGCCTTTTTTGAGTCTGTAAGTTAAAATTGACATCTTTGCGATAATCAATTATTCATGATTGTTTCAATTTGACCAACAAAAAAAAAAACAATCTTGAAAGTGTAGATACCATTAAAAAGCGATCAAATGCTAATGAAGATAATGTGTTGGTTGAAACCTGTTGTTAATATCTCATAGAAATCAACACCCTGAGTTCCTTAACGTTTATTTCTTAACTTTCTATTCACTTTCCAACCTTAAATAATTACTTTTACTGCTAAATTACATGGTATAATGATAAAATAACTATTGCTCAGATTGCCCTCGTTGAAGACGCTCTTATTTTGAGCTCACTTGGCACAATATTTAGCAATAAGGATCATTATCGTTCTGTGTGCAGTTTTCGATGAAAAGCGCTGAATGCTTTGCTGTGAGACACATTGTATTTGTTGTGAAAGCACTAATGGCCAATTATCACATGTAGGTGGACAAGCAGGAGAAATAAACAGGTAAAAAAGGGGGAAAAAAGCATCCTGCACCATTCCACCTCTCCCAAAACCTTTCACTGGTGGAGAAGTCCTTTGCAAAACACATTATCTTTGACATCAACAAGAGGCTGCCGGTTGTTTTGCTCCTCTGTCTGTCGACTCTTCCGCCTGCTTGTCTAAGTGAAAAATATGATGAATGCGGTAGACGAGTGGAGCTCGCGGCTGCTTTAACTCCTATCCTCTCCAATCCATCAGTCCCGCTCGCGTCTTTCTCTTCCACTCTCCTACCCCTCTTCTTCATAGTCACACCTCTCGTCCCCCTTCATGCGTTCAGCCCGTTAGTCTTCTACTCAACGCTTTTCTCATCTCACTCTCTTTTCCCCTGGTCTGTTTTTTTTTTTTTTTTTTTTTTACCTCATTCCTATTCCTCTCTCAACCAAAGCGCCGCCGTATCGCCGCATAAAGAGCCGAGTCTTTCCCGCTGTTTGTCTGCGTGTGTGACGGGCTCATGATTAGTCGATGTAAAGCAAAGGACGACTCGACGGGTCTCCTCATTCCTCGTCATCCTTTCATAATGAGGAGATGAGATGAGAGCTCACCATCCACAGACACACAAATGTCACAGCTGTTTATAGTCCGGCAGGTTCAAGCCAGCTAAGTCTGGCCTTTTGTTTTTGCACTTGTGATGGTGAGAAGATTATGTAAATTGTCAGAAATGTTCAGCTTTTTTTTTTCTTCTTTTTTTTTAAATTCTGTGTCTCTGTGTGTTTATTTTAACAGCCATTTGGTGTGAATCAGCCAGGCCCTTATGTCATGTACACCACAGTGGACTCTAATGGCTACTTGAAAAATGCCTCAGGTGAGAACTTTTCTGTTTTCAGTCAGTTTTTTAATAGCAGCTCTCACTCCTCGTTTTAATCGGATCTCCTCAGTGATGGAACGTTGGCAAGTATTTTCCTGAAAAAGGTACTGCCTCAGCTTTTTTTATATCAGACTGATCTCACTGCAAAAACAAAATCTTACCAAGTGATTTTGGTTTTATTTTGAGTACAAATATCTTAATAAAGTACTTAATCCCTGGCCAATTATTTAACTTATAACTAGACATTTTTTCCATGTTACAAGTTAAATTATCTAACATTAGAACAAGTACTTTTTCATCAGTACTAAGAAATTATTTACTTAAAACAAGTTTCTATATCTTGCTAAAAAGTTACTTGTAAGTTAGTTTTGTCTTATTTTCGTAGTACTAATATATTTGCACTAGAAACTACACCAAAATTACTTGGTGAGATTTTGTGTTTTTGCAGTGAAGACAACATGGGTCAGACCAACTTACTGATCAAGAAGGACGAGGTTGAAATTTTGGATTATTTTCTTGTATTTGAAACAAGAAGTGTTTTAAATTAGGGCTGTTGCTTGTTGTATGCTCAGTCTGTTCCTGCAAAAAATTGTTCAAATTCATCACTTGCAGCCCCAAAGGAATTGCTTGTATGCTGATATAAGTTCACATAACGTTCTGTGTGTCAGGGTTTGTTATTTACCTAACACAACAGGAATCTCAGTTTGTGTTGGAATGGGTGATGTTTAATCACAAACATTGATCCTCTTGTTGTAAAGCATTGTTTCCCAACTCTGGTCCTCAAGGCACACTGCCCTACATGTTTTTGGTATTTCCTTGTTTCAGTCTAGCTGATTTCAACTGATGACTGATTAACAGGCGTTTGTTGAACTGCAATCAGTTGAATGAGGCACATTAAAACAACATGTAGGACGGTGTGTCTGGAGGGCCAGGATTGGGAAACGCTGTTGTAAAGGATCAGGGATTCTTCTCCCCTGTAGGATTAACACTTTCTCCACCAATGAAGATGACAAACTCTTGCACATCCCAGCTACATGAGATGAAATTACTGAAGAATATGAAGGTAGAGCGAGACAGATGTTGGAGAAGATAAGACACGACGCTGAGGACAGCAGTGCATTACACTGACACTGAGGAGCGCCATATTAGCTACACCCAGCCTCGCTGTTAGACTGTGGGAAGGACACAGAGCTGATGAGGACAAGATGCACTGACAGCCCGGGGTCAGAGATATATATAGTCGTGCGCTGCATAATCTCACTCTGTCAGATTTGGTTGTTTCATTTGTCTCTTGGCGCAGCTGGGGTGGATACATATTTAAAGAATGAGTAGATGGATCACAGTTCAACATCATAATTATTTCACTCTTCCTTAGACGGCTGTAATTGTCGGGATGCAAAACAGACTTTCCTCAGAGGGTATTTTAGTTCTACAAACGCTAAATGTACAGCGACTGTTTTTTGGGGGTTTTCTTCTATTTATTCATAGGTTTTAAATCAGGACAGTTTATTTGCTCTTCAAGGTGTAACATGCAGTTATCTGGGCACTGATGGCCACAGCGAAGAGGGAGGGGAGGGTGAGCTCTTACCGCCAGCACCCACGCCTACTGCAGAGAAAATGGACAGTAATTCAACATCCCACAGAATGTGGAGGCAGCAGAAAGTCACGGCTAGCTGAAGTTGGGAGTTGCAAAAGGCCGAACTTTGGTGGAGATTTGCAGAGGGAACGACTTTAGTGTTTTTCACTGCGTTAAGCTCTGACCACAGTCTAAGATTCATAAAGCCGCCTGCAGGGATTTGCTGCCATCCAGTCACAAAAGCTTTACCGAGGTTGGTCCGTTCGCAGTCGCCATGCCAATTCAACCCCTGGTGTTGGATGTGGTTCAGGTTGTGAGCATGCGAGTCAAGTTATTTCCAGCACCAAGCAGGTATACAATTGTTTTCTAGTGCATAAAGATTTAACCATGCTGAAGTGAGGGCTGTTCACCAGGTTTTAGTGAGAGCATGGTAGGTACTGTGTAGATTTTCTTCAGTTTCCTTCAGTTATTTTTTTAGAACAATAATGTATTCACTCGTTCACTTGCATCAGTACACAAATCATTTTATTAAGAAGTACTTACACAACACTCACATCAGCAGGAAGCCTGACTGCAGAACACTTGTGCCAGCTGAACTTGTACAGCAATGCATCAAGATAATTGTAATCCATTAGTATAAAATAAAAAAGTACAATATCTGTGCAGTGAGATGAGGGCTACTGCACATAGTGAGGAGGAGAATTCATTGTGTGCATTAACCCTTTCTGTCCTAAATTTAAAATCTCTCCCTGGATATTATTTTAATTGCATGCAGATCTTTAAATGTTGTGTGAGTGAATAAATTTGCCCATTTATCCATAACAATATCTAGCAGTTAGTTTTGCAACTTATCGTCTATTAACAGAACAACCTCAGATTAATTTCACTCCCTTCAAGTGAAATGACCATAATAACCTGAGGTTGGCTGGAAAGCCCAACAAACTCCCCTTTCAGAAACTGTTGGAATTTTTTACGGCACTACAAATTTGGGGCAATTGCCGGCGCTCTGTTTAGGACTTTAAAGTTTAAAGTAGTAGTCCCTAATCTTTTCTGAAATACAGATAAACATGTGGATTTGGGTAAGGATTTTTGTGGGAGGGGGCAGTGTGTATAAACTTAGGAAAGCACAATAAAGTGCATTACCAGGTAGTAGTATGGAAGCCAAGAGCAAACGTTTTCCACATCTGATTTTTCCCCGACGGTTTTCTCAAGATGACGAGAAAACAAAGTTTGTTTTCTCGATATCAGGAGATGATTGGTGTGCGTGATAAACCCAATTCCCAGTCGACCATCCAACTGGGAATCGGACGGCCGACTGGGCCATCCAATTGTTTACTCTGAATTTGTTTCAACATAAACAAATTTACCGTTTGTTTACTCTGAATTTGCGTTTGGTCTTCAGAGGTTTTGCGAGACACCTGAATGCCAGTGAGTGAAATCAGTTAGTGTGTGGCGTGTTGCTCCTGCCTTGTGGCTGAACACCAAACACTGTACGACCAACCCGGTTATTCCTACGATTTTTTATCGTAGAGTGTGTGGTGGCAAGTTGTGAAAATCGGATGACAACTTTAAAATCTTGCTGTATAAACCAAAAGGTATCCCTTGGATTCTCTGTTTTCACATCTTCTGTTTATGCTGGAAACATATTAATTTTAAACACCTCTCTGTTTTAAATGCTGTCCATCATCAGACCCACTCATATGTATATTTTCCCCAGTTTCTAAACAAAGGGCGCAAAGAGAGGAGAAGAGTTGCCAACGGCTTTGCTGGCACAAATCCCAAGACCCCTAATTTAACAGAAAGAAAGTGAGACAAGGGAGCTGTCTGCGTGTGTGTGTGGGTGTGTGTCCAGTAATTTAAAGTGTATTTATTCTGTAGCTTGTGGGTCAGGAAACAGCTACTGAGAATGCCAGAAATGAGCAATGACAGACTGCGCACCCAAACGCAGTTTGTGTGGTCCAATGTTCTTCACTTACCCTTCACCCTCCTGAAGGGAAAAAGAGCAGAGAGGAAAGGAGAGACAATAAAACAACTGGAGGAAAAGGCAATAAGAAGAAAAGAAATAGCTGGTATAACAGAAAGGAATTCTTGGTAACGGTTAAGAGTTACAGCATAAAAAAAAGATAGTGGTAGTCTGAATAAAGTCATTTTAATCTCACAAAACTTCAGAAAACGCATTGATGGCACAAATCTGCTAATTACCATATCCACATATGCTGGTATATTAAAGATATGCAGAAGTTATAATGTCATCCTTGCAGCAAAGGTCAGCAGCAATCTTGTAATATTCTGCATTATGTCCATGGCCATGTGCATTCTTTGTCCGTAAAGCAGAACTCTTTAAATGTGACTCGATTTCTTGTGGGCCAACCTGAAAAATCTCCTCCTCTAGGCGTCCATGGGTGAAAAACATCACCTTGGTTATGCACCACAGCTACCTGTGGAAAATGACTCTGTGAAGCTGACTGTTTCAGGAGAACAGAGGTGATGGTGTTGGGGCAATTTGCTAGTCACTGCGGCTTTCACTGATCTGTCATTTTCTTATTCCTGATTCACAGGAAGATTTTTATGCCAATTTTTTATTTATTTTTTGTTCTAATTTTTCTCTTTTGATAATCTTAACGAAGCATCGATTATCAGGATGACTAAAGATAATCTTCGGAGAAATTCTTGTTGCGTTTGGGATTATTCAACTTGTCTGATAGCCTTGGCCAGATATGGCGACGTGTGGGTGTGACCCGAGGTCTGTTGAATGCGACGTGTAGCCAATCAGAAAGCAAGGTGACGGAAACATGAAGGAGAATCCAAAATATACAGAAGACAGAACAACGTCCATGGTGCAGCACAAACTCCAGTGGATGTTGCAGAATGTTTAGCCTTCTCTGTTAAACTATTGCTATTGCTCCTTAGTTGGCCAAGCTTGTTTATGCTTTTCAGATTTTCCATCGACATCTAAATATTGGTGAGTGAAAATATAGTTGATGTATGGTGTGTTTCTCCTGCTGGGTGGCTCAACAGCACAGTAAAACCAGACCTGTCATACCGAGGATATTTTATCGTCAGGTTTTGAAAATCGGCAGACAATTTTTAAAATCTTGCCATGTCAACCAGGCATTAGGGCTTATTTCAGTTATCTTTCTCCATGCAGGCAACTGCTGAACTTGAATTCTGGGTAAAAGTGAGTCATCTGAACGAACCCCAGCTGTCTGATACAATGCTATCACTTTTTAAAGATCAATTCCAAAACAAGCTTGAGGTCTCTTCCTGTGGAAAGGACACATTTCCTTTCCACTATCACCACATTCTTGCTCGCTGTGGATTACTGCACGGTCATTTACACAATGCAGCCAACTGGGCTTTCTTAGACTTTACCAAATTAGCATAAAACTCCAAACCCGATTGCCCTGGAATGTCACTTTTT